TTGGAGTGGGTGAGAGGGGTGGAGAGGTTGAGACGATTGATGTCTCAACGGCAGTTGGAGATGAAGAGGTCGAGGGAGGGTAGGAGGCCTTGAGGTGGTGTCCAGGAGGAGGGGGTGTGTTGGAAGCGGGAGAAGGGGTCAGTAGAGGGAGGGTTAGGTTCACGGTTAAAGAAGTAAGCGTGGAGGCGGAGGCGGCGGAAAAACTGCTCAATGTCCAAACGTGAGCGGTATTCGTTGATCTGTGGGTGGAGGGGGACAAAGGTGAGTCCTTTACTGAGGACTGACCGTTCGTCCTCAGTAAGGGGTAGGTCTGGGGGGATGGTGAAGACTCGGCAGGGCTGGGTGCTGCTGTCTCCTCTGGAGGTGCTGGCTGTGGAGGCTGTGGGCGGAGCTGTGTCGGCGTCGGCTGTGGGCGGAGCTGTGTCGGCGTCGGCTGTGGGCGGAGCTGCGTCGGCGTCGGCTGTGGGCGGAGCTGCGTCGGCGGTGGGCGGAGTTGTGCCAAGCCTAGTATGGTTACATGATTAATCCCACGTGCAAAATGGTTTCTCACCATCTCATTCAGGGTCAAACCGAAGTCACATGCCACTGCCAGTCATCTTAACCAGTCAAAAATCCCGATATGGACTCCCCTCTTTCTTGAATTGCCAAGTAAAAATGATAGCATCTCAAATTTGGTGGAGGCTTGGGGTCATAATATTCCTTAACCAAATCGATCAACTCTTGAAAGGTTTTAGTATCTGGTGCCTCAAGGAAAATAAGGCTTCTAATAACCGAAAAAGCTGTGGATCCACAAGCCGTCAGAGAATTACTCGTTGCTTTTCATTTGTCCCAATGTCATATGCCCAGAAAATATAATGCATTCTTTCCAAAAACTGGGCCCAATCTTCGACAGAAGGGTTGAATGAGTCAGGCTTCCCAAATAACATTCATGATGCAAGGAATGCTTAGCCCAAACTGAAAAGATGTCTATTGTGAGCGAGTTTCTTCAGGCTATGGTTTACTGTTGTCACCACTGAAATAACTCCATAGAAACCAATATCCCGTCACCAAGTCACACTTCATTTACACGTGCATAATACTTGACACTAGTCAGGCTTCCACAGAGCCAGCTCTTGGAGTGAACAAGATGTCTCAGACTTCTGTATTTATCTATCAGCTAAGGCCCTCTAATTGGACCAGATTAACAGCTCCAATCAGGGAACTCATTCTGTGAGGTCCACCTGGCTGACCTCATTACAATCACTACACCTGTCTCAATGCAGTCACACTCCAGTGTTCCAGACCCCAAATCAGAAGATCCCACCCTAAGATGTATTACCACCTCCTGGTACAAAATAACAAGGTCACTAACTGTAGCTCAGACCTCAGTTCAATAACTGTGACTCAAAGCTCCTTCATCCTCAAACATTTGTTTCAGATTTGTTTCGAGGAGCTTCCACATAAGAACATAAGAACTAGGAGCAGGAGTAGGCCATCTGGCCCTTCGAGCCTGACCCGCCATTTAATAAGATCATGGCTGATCTTTTTGAGACTCAGCTCCACTTGCCCGACCACTCACCGTAACCCTTAATTCCTTTACTGTTCAAAAATTTATCTAGCCTTGCCTTAAAAACATTCAGTGAGGTAGCTTCAACCGCTTCACTGGGCAGGGAATTCCACAGATTCACAACCCTTTGGGTGAAGGGTTATGTTACATGTTACAGTCCTGGCACCTCACTTGTCCTGCCATGTTGATATATTTTAATGTTTCGTATTTTATTTATTTACTGCCAGATTCTACATTATTTTAAACCGCAGGAACGGAATAAACCTTAAACATTAAGCTGACTCACTAAACAGCTAGCTTAACTTGTGGTAGTGTAAGGACCTTGTTTGTGAGTCACAAAATGTTAGTATGGAGATACAGCATGTAGTCAAGGCGGCTGCTGGGATGCTATCCTATGTTAATAAAAGGAGCTGAACATAAAACTAAGAATGTTATGCTTCAGTTGTACATGACACTGCTGAGATCACATCTCAAATATTGTGTGTAGTTTTGGTCATCTTATTTAAAAAAGGCTGTAAATGTGTTGGAGGAGGTTCAGTGGAGGTTTACTGGATTGGTACATGGAATGAGTGGGTTTCTTCATTAGCGTAGATTGAACAGGCTTGGATTGTTTCTGCTGAGGTTTAGAAGAGTGCCTTGATCATAGGATTCTTAATGGTCTTGATAAGGTATATTTGGTAAGAATATTTCCTCTTTTGGGTGAGTCGAGAACTTTTTTCATTCATTAACAGGATGAGGGTGTCACTAACCAGGCAGCATTTATTGCCCAGAGGGCAGTTAAGAGTCAGCCATATTGCTCTGGGTCTGGAGTCACATGTAGGCCAGACCAGGTAAGGATGGCAATTTCCTTCCCTAAAGGACATTAGTGAACCAGATGGGTTTTACCAACATTTGACAATGGATTTGTGGTCATCATTAGGTTCTTAATTTTAGATATTTTATTGAATACAAATTCCACCATCCACCATGGTGGGATTTGAACCCCGGTCTCCAGAACATTATCTGGGTCTCTGGACTAACAGTCCAGCGATAATACCACTAGGCCATCACCTCCCCAGGAGGCTGGACATTGTTTTAAAATTAGGGGTTACCATTTCAGGAGAGAGGTGAAGTGATTTTTTTTCTCTCTCAGAGGGTTGTGCAACTTCGGAACTCTGCCTCAGAAAGCAGTGGAAGTGGAGTCACTGAATACTTTTCAGAGAGGTGTAGATAGATTCTTATTAGACAGGGAAATCAAGTGTAATCGGGGTAGATGGTCGTGTGGAATGTGAAACGCAAACAGGTCAGCCATGAACTTACTGAATGGCAGAACAGGCGTGAGGGGCCAAATGGCATACTTTTGCTCTTATTTTGTATGTTCATGATTTCTACATGGGTGAAAAACTTAGAAAAGGCATAGGGACACATCCTTCTCCTTTTCACCTGACTCCTCACTTAACCCAACTCCCAGCACTCTGTTCAAAGTCACACTGAGATGTGTGTATTCATATGATGAGAATCAGCTCAGCCCCAGGGACAGAAAAAAAAAAGCTTCAGCTAGTTTCTTTAACTAACTAACTTCAGCACCTTCCAGTAGGTTACATTTACACGCTGCTTAAGCCTGAAACAAAAGCAAGAAACTGCTGGAGAGACTCAGCACATGTGGTAGCATCTGTGAAAAGAACATAACCTCGAGTCTAGTAACCCTTTTCAGAACTAATAGTATACAGGAAAATGTGGTATATATGCTGCAGGCAGGGGGTGGAGATATAGCCCGGAGAAAGAGAGACAGGCATACAAAGGGATGGATGATAATATGCCACACAGAAAGAAAAGCTGATAATGGGGGCCATAAATTGGTGAAAATGGGTTGTCTGTACTGAAAGCACCCCATGTCAATAATAGGCCCTGGGGTGTGGGGGGGGGGGGGGGGAGTAAAAGGACATAGAAAGAGGTGTTCAGGCCCTAAAATTATTAAACTTGATATTGAGTTCTGAAGGCTGTAGCCTACTTATTGAAACAATAAATGACAGCTTTTTGTTAAATGTAAATACAAATAGAATTAGACTTTTTGAAAAGGATTAAAATTTCCCTGACCAAACTCCAGCATTCTGTTCAAAATTGCTCCCATCCTTAAGTCAATATGAGAAACAGGAATGTTACGTAGTGCCTAAACACTACTTAGGTCTTCAACCGGAAACTTGAACATACAATGTTTTGACTCAATGATAACAGTAAGGCAGACTGACAATAAACTGTAATATTTCAATTAGATTCAGTTTCTATGGGACAAAAACAAAATTGCTGGAAAAGCTCAGCAGGTCTGGCAGCATCTGTGAAGGAAAAAACAGAGTTAACATTTCGGGTCCGGTGACCCTTCCTCAGAACTGTGGGATTATGTTTCTATGGGATTATGTCCCAAGTTTGTCTGCAGAATGTTTTACTCCATGTAAACTAACTGCCTGAGAATTTGATTTGATTTAGAATTGTAATTAGTGAAACCTGCAGGTGTCAATGTTGTCATTGTATCAGGGTTCCTGAAGCTGTGAAAGATGATAAAGTCTTTGGTGTCAGGAGAAGTTAAACTGCTGGAGAAAAGTAGGTTGCCTCCAGGAGTGAGGAACAATCTTCAGACTAGGTACTGATAGAGATCTCTACATCAAGAAAGAACACAAACATCCTAAAATTCCACTGCCACAATCTAGAAAAGTCTACGGTCTGAAAATACCTGGTGCTCCTCAATGAGACTGATCTGCAGTGTATGCTCCAATGCTCCATGTCTGGAGGTCTATGACTTATTTGCCCAGGTCCTACTCCCAAACTCAGCACCAATAACATTAAGGTCAGTGATATAGAAGCATCTGAGTGACAGAGTCAGGGTAGTCTTGATCCTGATCCTGGTATGTGAGAGACTCAGGTTAATCTGAACCTGGATTTCATTAATGCTCCCCCACCCACCCCTGCCCTCGCTCTGAACCCACATCTTTCTCCATCTCCCCTCCTGGAGCTTATCCTGTCTGTGGGGCCCACCTCCTGTTCTCTTGACCCTGTTCTGATTAAACTGCTGATCACTCATCTTCCTGGACCTCATATTTCAGATATTGTTCATGGTTCTTCCTCTTCAGCTATGTTCTCTCATCCTTTAAATTTACTGTGATCATCCCATTCTTAAAGTGCAAGCCTCTTGATTCCTTCACTTTTACGAACCACCACATCAGGTCTAATTCCCTCTCCACCTCAAAGTCTTCGGGTGTGCTGTTTCCTCCAAAATCCTGGAAAACGACATGGAGTCAGGTGAGGGGGTAGAGCAAGAACTTGGGGCTGTCACATTAGACCAGGGATGAGTGACCGGGAGAGGGAGTCTGGTGAGGAGTGAAGCAACACTTGACCAGTCATCAATTCAAACTCAGAGTCGCACTCATTCTGCAAGCACGTTATACTCGCTCCTCTTATCAAAAGTTTATCAGAGGAAATGAGACAGCAGCTGCAATAAGTGAGGTTTTATTCAGATGAGACAATGACATGTTTAAATTCCCTCCTAATCTGTTGCTCAAATTCACCTTTTCATTGATCAATTTCCCAAGCTTCAGGTTGGGTTCATGTTGCTCCAGAAATATTTGGATTGACTGTGAGAGACGTCAATCAGAGAGCCCACCCACTCTGCCCATTCTCTCCTCTCCTCTTCCTCTTCCAGAGCTGGTTCACTTCCTATAGAGACTGAAAACGAAGTGAGGAGGTGAGTGAAGGAGCAGTTTTTATACAAATTGTATCCCATAATATCCACACTAACCTTCAGGCAGTCTGACTATCCTGTGGGCAGTCAGGGGTGGAAATGTCCCTTATGCTGTGTGAGAAGATCCAGCTGAGAGAGCTGTTCACTCGGTGCTTTGTGCTGAAATGTTTTGATTGGAGCTGTATGTTGGATATTGAGTGTGTTTATTGGAAGCACTTCACTTCTGATTGCCAGACTGAGTTTTGTTGATGGCTCATTCCTGAATGAGAAGGTGAGGTGTAATTATTTGGAAGGTGCAGAATGTGTGAGGATTCTTACTGGTTTCCTATTGTTGAGTTCGTGTGTGTGTGTGTGTTGTGGTCTGTGCATGGTTAGTCCTATGTTGGGATCTGGGTGTTTCCCTCCACATAATTACTGAAAATTCCTTAGAATGATAAACAAACTTGCGTTTATATAGAGTCTTTCACAATCATCAGATGTCCCAAGCTCTTTAAAGCCAATACTTTTGAAATTTAGTCACAGTTGTGATGTAGGAAACTTGATAGCCAACATGCACACAACAAAACCTCACAAACACCACCAGATAATCTATTTTAGAATGATGCTATTTGAAGAATTGTTACAATTTCTGTGGAGACTCTGAACTTTTATAAGAATTTTGAATTTACAGCAACCAAGTTAAAGGAATCGCATTGGAGCTGTTTAAATTTAAGACTTTTACTCGAACAAATTGACTAAATGCAATATTGACTGAAGAATAACTAATAGGCAACTAATACGCTGAACTGCCAAAAAGGTATCCAGTTTTTGAACTTTTAACATGACCAAATATAGAATCCCTACAGTGCGGATGTACACCATTTGGCTCATCAAGTCCTCACTGACACCACCCCTACCCCACCCAGTCCCTGTAACCCCACATTTCCTGTGGCTAACCCATCTTGCCGACACATCTCTGGACATTTAGCATTGCTAATCCACCTAACCTGCACATCTTTGGACTCTGAAAGGAAACCGGAGCACCCAAGGAAACTCACCCAGACACAGAGATTATGCAATCTCCACACAGATAATGCTGAAGGGTGAAATCGAACCTATGTCTCTGGCACTGTGAGGCAGCAGTGCTAACCATTGAGCCACCATCAATATCAGTTATTTAAAAGTTTCACTTGATTGTCTGTAGCTAAAGGTGATTTTATGAGAATAGAAATGGGTCAATGAATGACTTTTTAAAAAATCTTCAAAGTATTTTTTATTCATAAACCTGTCACTAATGGGTTTGCTGTTTTTATATATCCTATAATGGTTTAATAGGCATGGAAGTGCCACAGCCTGTCATGGGGGTCATGGAGACCTTAGGCTGTGGGGGTGGGTCATGCCATGAATGAGGCATGGGAGTCTGTGGGGAGTTAAGAGGTGAAGGCAAGAGGAATTTTCTTTGGTTCTTAAAGCTGGAATGAAGTCCTAAAGCACAGAGTCTTCTAACCAGGCAGTCTTGACACCCTGCATCCAGCTTCACCTCGCACTTGCCTGTCTGTTACAAACATTGAACCTTTGTGAAAAATTTCTTCTGAAGTGGATCAGCTGAGCTGGGAACTTTCCTGATTTTTAACTCGGAAATTTTAGATCAGAAAGTCTATCCAGTCAGCCCCATCTCCTCTTGCTTTTGCTTTCAGGTGGCTTTGCGCATTTTGCTCTTGCTCAACTGTTCTCAAAGTAATCAAACCACCTAGCCTGTTGCCAGGCAACATTTTACAACCTCTGGGGCAACCCAATTTTTCAGAATATTCTGCTTTGCTTTCAAAGTTCACAACATGACAATCTTACAAACTTCATATTACGATAGTGAGGATGTTGGAGAGGTCTGGAGGGGAGTACTCCCAGCACCTCAGAGGCCAAGTTTGATAATCCACTCGGTGTTTTGCTCGTGAAGACAGTTTAACATTTTGGCCGACTGTCGTGTGCTGGGCTCCAACATGTTTGAGAATGGAGGTGTTAATGGAGCATCATTTTTCTGTTACTTGTCTGGTTGTCTATAAATTTCAACAAGCTGCAGTACGACTGAACTGTTTGCTGTGGGGTTTATTCCTTTCTACACTTTGAAAGTGGTGGAATCTATTATTAAGCAGGTTTCAACAGGAAACAAAAAATCACACTGCAATGGGGCAGAGTTGACATGGTTTTGTGAAAGGGAAATCATGTTTGAGTAATTTATTGAAGTTCTTTGATGAAGTGACAAGCAACTTGGATAAAGTTCTGAGGAAGGGTCACCAGACCCGAAACGTTAACTCTGTTTTTTCCTTCACAGATGCTGCCAGACCTGCTGAGCTTTTCCAGCAACTTTGTTTTTGTTCCTGATTTACAGCATCCGCAGTTCTTTTGGTTTTTATTGGTTAAGGGAAACTTTGTGGATCTCCTGTACTTAGATTTACAGAAAGCAGGTTACTATGCAAATTAAGAGCTCATGGTATAGGAGGTACATATTAGCATGGTTTGAGGATTGCTTAGCTAATAGGAAACAGAATAGGCATAAATGGGTTATTCTCAAATTGGCAAGATATAGCAAATACAGTTACACGGGGATCAAATCTTGGCCCCAGTTATTTACAATTTATCTAAAAGACTTACATTAGCAACTGAATGAATGGTGACTACATCTGTAGGGATATATATATAGAAATTTATATAGATTAAGTGAGTCAGCAAAAAATTGGCAACTGGAATATGATATGGGTAAATGTGCACTTGTTCACTTTGGCGGGAAGAATTTTAAAAAAAAAAAGTTAAACAGAGATTGTAGAACTCTGAGGTACAGAGGGATCTGGGTCTTGGTATACAAATGATTTAAAAAAAAAAAAAAAAAGTTAGTATGAAGTTAAAGCAAGTTAATAGGTAGATAAATGGAATTGTTTATTGAGAAGGATACAGAATATAAAAATAGGGAAGTTTTGCTCCACTTTTACAGGATATCGGTGAGATTACATTGGAAATAATGCAAACTGCTTTTATCTCCTTATTTTCAAAAGGATATAAAGACTTTAGAAGTAGTTCAGAGAATCAAATAACCATTCAATACTTCAGCCCATTGTGTCTGTATTGCCAAAATACACTACTACCTACACTTGTCCCACTTTACTGCACTGGGCCCAAGGCCTTCAGTGTTATGACATATCAGGTGTTCAACCAAGTACAAATAAAGTTTGAGGTTTCCTGCCTCAATTACCCTCCCAGCCAGTGAATTCCAGTCCCCACCACCACCACCCTCTGGGTGAAAATGGGTCACTTGACTACTACCCAATATGGAGAGGTTATCTGATGAGAAAAGGTTGGACTGGGAGAATGTGGTATTGAGATCACAGCCAAATCAGTCTTGATTTTATTGAATGGCAATGCAGCTTGAGCAGGCCAAATGGCCTATTCCTACTCCTAATTTGTATATTCAGGTGTACGCTGAAGCAATATTTATCTTAGTTTTGAACACTTTCTACATAATGTATTTTCATTAAATAATCCCCAAAAAATAAGCTGATGAAATTACAGAATTACCATTAATATTTCTCCTGTTTGTTTTGCTATTAAACACATACTTGAAGGAAAAATCGTCTTCATTGTAGTGAATTGACTGGCTCTTACATACTCCCCACTTTGTCTTTTCCACCATCCTCATAGAGCCTGGGAAGATTTTTTTTTGCAGGAGTGGGATGCTAGGTGGGACAAATTTACCACATTGTCTTCTTCTTATCACTGTCCAGTATCATTGCTGCAAACGGCGGATGTGCGACAGTCAAGTGAGGAAAAGTAAAGGGCTCACATCTGATTCACATCCCCCCCAACACACACACACATGGGAATAGCAGACTGGCACTCACTGTGGAAACAGTCTGTAACTGAGCTGCCAGCCTCTTTAGGAAACAATGAGAGTGAATTGGAGGAAATTATGTTTCCTTTTCCTGTTTTACAGACAAATGATGACACCTAAGAATATAGTGTACATATATTGCAAATAGATCCTGACCATCACCTAACTGTGCAACTGTGGGAAGATATCCAGTCCCATCACAGCATTGCTCCACACAGAAAAGACTGGGGAGTGAAACCATCATCTGGAAATCAGCCGGGTCAGGGGAGTTTTGACAAATCATCAGGTCTGTAACTGGTCAGTAGTGTGGAGCCTTCCATCAGAACCAGCTTTTCCAAGTGTTTGGCTATTGATGATTGGTCACAATGAGAAGTATGAGCAGACTCCAAGTCTGATGAGAGTTTAATCATTCGTAGAGCCTCATGAACCACTGACTCATTCCTACAGTTAAGAGGCTGTTCTAGTGTAAGGAGCGCTGCATGAGATCTATAATGCTGACTGCATCTGTTCAGCAACCACATGGAAGTGAAACAATTCAAGTGTGAGGTGTGTGACCAAACCTTCACAAGATCATCAGCCCTTGTGAAACACCGACGGATTCACACAGGGGACAAACCTTTCACGTGCAAAGTGTGCAACAAATCATTTTCACAGTTAACAAATCTCCACAGACATCAACAGATTCACACAGGAGAGAAACCATTCACATGCAGGGTGTGCAACAAATCATTTTCACAGTTAACAAACCTCCACACCCACCAACGCGTTCATACACAGGAGAAGCCGTTCACGTGTGAAGTGTGTGACAAAGCTTTTAAACGGTTATCAAACCTCCTACTCCATCAGACAACACACACAGGGGAGAAGCCCTTTAAGTGTGATATTTGCAATAAAGCTTTTGCAACATCTACAAGGCTCCTGAAGCACCAGATCGTTCACACTGGTGAGAAACCCTTCAGGTGTGAAGTGTGCAACCGAGCCTTCACACAGTCATCGACACTTGTGAAACACCGACGCACCCACACCGGGGAAAAGCCTTTCAATTGTAAAGTGTGTGATAAATCCTTCACTCAGTTATCTACCCTCCAGGACCACCAACACATTCACACAGGCGAGAAACCATTCACATGTAAGGTGTGCAACAAATCATTCGCATGGTCAACGCATCTCAGAGTACATCGACGCATTCACACTGGGGAGAAACCATTCTCATGTGAGGTATGCGACAAATCATTCTCTTGGTCCAATGCGCTCCTTGAACATCAGCGCATTCACACGGGGGAGAAACCATTCACATGTGAGGTGTGTGACAAATCATTCTCACAGTCATCTAACCTCCGTGCACACCAGCGCATTCACACGGGGGAGAAACCGTTTACATGTGAAGTGTGTGACAAATCCTTTGCACAGTTAGCAAGCCTCCTGCGACATCAGACAGTCCACACTGACTAGAAATCCTTCAGATGTGATGTAGGCTCTGCACAACCATCAGACCTGGTGAAACACCAATGCATTTATACTGGTGAGGAACCACTGTGTGAGGTGTCTGACTCATCATTCAGAGTCATCAAGTCTCCAGCAAACACCAGCATGTTCGCACAGAAGTAAACACTCATGTGCGAGCTGTGCCCAAATCATTGTCATTGTTAAAAAACCTGCAAGTAGGCCAACTCATTCAAACAGGAGGCACAGTGTGCAGAAAATCATTCCAACAGTCATTAAGACTCTTGCTCCATCAGCAGTGTAACTCTTCAAGTGTTGTGAGACTTGTGTTGAAGCTTTTGTGATATCATCGACCCTCCTGGGACTGTTGAGGATTCACACAACAAAGACAGACTCTTAGATAACAAGGTGTAGAGATGGATGAACACAGCAGGCCAAGCAGCATCAGAGGAGCAGGAAGGCTGACATTTCGGGCCTGGACCCTGACCTATCTCCTCCCTAACTCCCCACCTACACTCACCTTTACTGGCTCTATCCCCGCCTCTTTGACATGTCTGTCTCCTCTTTGACATGTCTGTCTCCTCTCCACCTATCTTCTCCTCTATTCATCTTCTTTCTGCCTCCCCCTCTCTCCCTACTTATTTCAGAACCCCCTTCCCCTCCCCCATTTCTGAAGAAGGGTCTAGGCCCGAAACGTCAGCCTTCCTGCTCCTCTGATGCTGCTTGGCCTGATGTGTTCATCCAGCTCTACACCTTGTTATCTCAGATTCTCCAGCATCGGCAGTTCCTACTATCTCAAAGACAGACTCTTAATTTGTGAGGTGCATGACAAAGCTTTCATCCAGTCACTGTATCTCCTAGTAAATCAACGCAGGACACGTGTCGGCTGTGACAGTCACCATTGTCTCACAACATTAACTATCTCGGTTCCCACATGCTGAATGGCCACTTGAACAGAGCACCAGAAGTCAATCAATGTCCATAGCTTTTACTCCAGATCAGTCCTTGAGGATTGGAGGGAATGTGAGATGAAAAAAACGGCATAAACTACAACAACAACAACTGGTAATTATACAGCACCTGTAATGTCGTAAAACACCCAAAAGTGTTTCATAGACACATGATCACATAATACCAGGATAGAGAAAGAGATATTAAGAAAGGATGACCTAAAGCATAGTTAAAGAGATGGAATTTAAGGAGGCCGTGATATCAAATGAGAGCTAAAGATGCAGAGATTTGTACACAGACTTTTTGGAAATGGGGATGTTACAGAGGGGGAAGTAGGCGATCTTTGTGATGGAATGGTTTCTCTCTAATTACTGTGACAACTTATTAATCTTAAACACTTCAATAGATTATCTTTTAATTTTCTATATTCAAGTAAATTCAAGCTCAGTCTGTGTAACTCATCCTTATAATTTAATCCTTTCAACATCAAGAAAATTCTGGTGAATCTACACTGCAATCCCTTCAAAGGTCAAAATATTCAGAAATTTTCTGAAGAAGGGTCTAGGCCCAAAACGTCAGCTTTCCTGCTCCTCTGATGCTGCTTGGCCTGCTGTGTTCATCTAGCTCTACACCTTGTCATCTCAGATTCTCCAGCATCTCCTCTTCAGGTGATAGTAGGAACTGCAGATGCTGGAGAATCCGAGTCAACAAGGTGCAGGGCTGGATGAACACAGCAGGCCAAGCAGCATCATAGGAGCAGAGAGGCTGACGTTTCGGGCCTAGACCCTTCATCAGAAAAGGGGGAGGAGAAGGGGGTTTTGAAATAAATAGGGAGAGAGTGGGAGGTGGATAGAAGAGGGATAGAGGAGAGGATAGGTGGAGAGGAAACAAACAGGTCGAAGAGGCGGGGATGGAGCCAGT